TCTGTATCTGGTCTAGTATTTGGTCTGTATCTGGTCTAGACCATAGTCAGAACCAGCTAAACTGTTAACTCCACTAGGTTTAAGGGCCAGATCCCAGATGTCAGTGAGGTTGGTCCAGTTTTCTTCCCTACTGAATTAATTCTATAGAGAAACAGTCCATTAAACTAAGAGAGAATCTACACAATTAATTTCCATGATGTAAGATTATTGAGAATCAAAGCCTCGAGGCCATGATGCACTATGGTTCATCCCTTACCTTAGGAGAGAGAGGTGATGGCAGGGGACCCGGGGGAAAGAGGAATGAGCCTGAGTCCACATTGATAGGGAACAACCCCATGAAAATCCAAGAGTCCAGCCAGTCCAGCCAGTCTGGGAAAATGTCTCTTTAACCTTAAGAACACCTGATAGTTTTGAGGTCCTAAATAGAAGAAAACTGTTACAAGTACTAATTTTTTTTGGTACCAGTAATCGAACTCAGGTCCCTGCACTTGCCAGGCAGGCACAGCACTGCTGAGCTACATCTCTGGCCCCATATACTCTTTCTTCTCTCTCCTCATTTAAAAGGACAACAAACACCATACACTGAATTGATTTAACAAGTTCCTATTCCCATTGGGACCCCTTACCCCACCCCAGGAAAGAGAGTACATGCTAACAACGAACGCTTGAATAAAGGAAAAAATGTTGTTGCTCTTTAGTAAGGCTACTATCCTTAATCTGGACTCCTTTCTACAATACAGTTTAGCAGAGCTGGGGATTTAGCTCAGTGGTTTCATTGCTTGCCTTGCAAGCACAAGGACCCGAGTTCAATCCCCGGTACCAAAAGAACCCCCCTCAGTTTAGCTCAAACCCTCTGTACAGTATTTCTTTTTTTCTTTTTTTTTTTTTGTACCAGGGATCGAACTCGGGTCCTTGCACTTGCAAGGCAAGCGGCGAAACCACTGAGCTAAATCCCTGGCCCTGTATAGTATTTCTTTAGGCACCAGTATGGGAATGTGAAAGAGCAAGAAATTAACTTATTCAATGAATATTTATTGAGCCTGTATTATGTGCCAGAACTTCTGCTAAGGCCTTTATGATAGAAGGGATCTTTCCAGACCTATGCCTGTACCCACCATATATGGGAGGAATGTGTGTTTGTATGTGTGTGTGTAGGGGGGAGGGTATAGTAGAGAACTAGCCTGGCAGGCTCGGGTACTGAGACCAGATTTGAATGCTACCATTGTTATGGTTTTTGGTTAGTCTTTCAGGATCTTGGACAGTAAGCCTAGCCTTCTTGGTCCATGTACAGAACCTCTTCTGACAGACTCAAGTCCTTTGTGGTCTTTGGGGTATGGGAGTTGCTGTTAGTCTTAGCAGCTCAATAAATTCCTAGAGCCCATAGGCACCTCGTCTTTTATCATGCGATTGTCTCTCCTGTTTTAGGTCAGTAAAGAACAGGGTTACATTATAGTGAGACTAAGATCCTGTGAGCAGGGCTTATATTCTAGTCCTAACGCAGGCCTGGCTTTCAGAGGGCGCTTGGTTAGTGCCTGGTGAATGAAACTATACTCTTCGTCCCAGAAAGCATTTCCTCAAAGCACACTGGTGAAATGCCTGGTGTACCAACCAGGCCCATTCCCACCCGGTCCAGTTCGTCTTATCCATCAATCTTCCTGTGTCTGTCTACCAGCCAAGACAGGGGGTGTTTTCTGACGTGAGGAATACAAGTTACTTAGGAGGGACTGCTCTCAACCGCGCCCTAAGGCTTTGAAAGCGTGGACCGGTCCCCTGAGCTTTGATGACAGCGACTCAGAACGAGTAACAGAGACTTCCGGGTCTGGCGGAGCAAGGCATCTCCGCCGTTAAAGGGGACTGGTCCTGTCAATGACTTGGGGGCCTCACCCCGACATGCGAGGTCTGGAGGCCGCAACAATGCAGCACCCACCTCTGCCAGGGCCGTTTCGGCTGCCTTGCTCCGCAGTCTCAGACACGACCAGCGCCGCCATCGCCCGCCTGCCCACGTGGGGAACAAAAAGACAGCGCTGGAAGATCGCGGAGCGTACAGACATTGCGATCGATCGCCGACCAGTCAGCGAAGGGCTGGGATTCTCTCTGGGTGGAGACCACAGAGGAGGAGATAGGGGCGGGGCAATAGTTGTCCCCACTTAAGCCCAGAAGGCCTGGACTCTTCCTCTTCAGGATCCCCTAGTGGTCTCCGACCGGTCTCAGTTGTCCTCCCTCTGTGACCTTGTCTACTACCCTGTTCCCTACCCTGACCCAAAGCTGACACTTCCAAAACAATGGATCCCTATGTGCCTGCACGACCTCTGAAGGCTGTCTGACAAAGGGGAACGCCTAACAGGTCTCGCTGGTGCTCTCATTCCCCTTCTGATAAACAGGGCTGTGTCAGCTACTCTGGGTGACCCCATTCCCTACCTCAGAGACCAGATTGCCCCTGCAGACAAAATTCAGCACCCACCAGCCCAGCTGCAAGTTGAGAGCCTTGGTGTGGGTTTCTGGAGCGTCCCCAGTGCCCTTTGTCACCTTTGGAGCCCATGGTGGGCAAGGTTCACACAGGAGGACCTGCAGCTCCGGGAGAGGCAGGAACCTGAGGGTGTTTTCCTGGAAAGACAGGGCACCCAGAGGACTCTATTGTCTAAGCCTTCAGGAGTTTGGCCATATTTTTCCCTGCCTAGGCTACCCCTCAGGATTAGCTTTTTTCCTGATCAGTGGCCAGATTTCCTAGGGTCCAAAGTAAAGCAGAGCAGCCAATGAGACAGCCTTGACCTTTGGAAGAGCAAAGTACCTGGGGAACTGGCCCTCTGCAAAATCTGCCACATGCAGCAGTGATGTCCAAGAGCTGTTTGCCCAACCAGCCCCCTGCCATCCTCTTCTCTCTGCAGTCGTGCTGTGAGCACAGCTGGCCCTTTAAGGCAGCTCTGTGGCCTCAAGCTCCCCTGGAGGCCCTCCCTGCTTGGAAACTCCTAATTAAGGTGCAGGGAGAAGTGAAAACAAGCAGCCAGGGACAGGCCCTGCCTGGGAGGGTGCCCAGAGAGGAGGGATGCTTAGGCAGGCTGGGAGTGAGCAGCCAAGAGGAGAGCAGAAGGGGTCAGTGCTCTGCCCCTCAGGCCACCAGCATTAGGACAGATACAGTTTGGACCAAGATATGGCCAGCATGAGTCCCAGGAATGCCCACCCTTCTACCTTGACAAGAATCCAGCCTACATTCCCCATCTCTTCTGGCCTCTCTCCATGGTGCAGGGTCTGAATTTTAGGATTCCAGTGCCTCCCCTTCAGCATTCCAAGACCCAGTCAGTGGCCAGCTTTAGTTCTGGCTTCAGCTTTGTGTTCCAATGGGGAAAGCTTGGCTCCAACAGAGCAATGGCTTCATCCCTTAGGGCCTTTCCCACCTTGTCAGAGGTGGGACCCATTCATGACAAAGCCCCCTTTCTCTTACAACATTGTCCCATAGTCTCTGTCCTGCAAGAGTAGCCCTGACCCCCATTAGGAAGCCAGGTGATGCCCAGAACTGGACACCAAGAGCAGATGAGAGACCTGCAGTGCAGGAACTGGGAGCTGCCATTCCACTTGGGCTGAGGTTACCTCCATCTGTCCATGGGGGTCTCCCTCCCTGAGTTACTCAGCTGTCTGAGTAATTACCACCTGACAAGAAAGTGGGCACAGTGTACTCGCCCCCCACATTACTCCACAACACCCGCCTACAGCCGCCCCCACCCTCTGGCTGGACTCCAAGGCAGCACCAGGCCCTCTTGAGGCCTGAAATAACTGCTTCTCACACTCACGCCTCCCAACTTTGCCTAAGTTGTTGGAGTTTGTGGGACAGGGGGTCATGGAGAGGCGGTTTAGGGAGGTGCAAAGAGAATTAGTATACCCTGATTCAGGCCCACACTTTATCACTGATTTGCTGTGTGGCACTGAGCAAGTGTTCAACCTCTCTTGAGCCCTAGTTTCATGGAGGACCTCTGCAGCTCTCAATGTCCTGGCGTTCAGCTCTTTTATCTGTCAGGCAGGGATCAGGCAAAATGTGGGGCCAATGCAGGATTGCAGCTGGTAGGGGTAAGAGAAGAAATATTCCACCTCTGTTCCCACCCCCAACAAGTGTCCAAGCTAAGTAATCTTCCAAACAAGGTTCTTCTCATCTTCAGGCATTTGCACATTCTCTCCTTCCTACAATGGCATTTCACCTTAGCCTGATGAACTCAGCCCTCTGAGGTATCTCTTTTGTGCACTTTTTTTTCTTTTCTTTTTCTTTTTTTTTTTTTGTACCAGGGATCAAACTCAGAACCTTGTGCTTTTAAGGCAGTCTTTTGTGCATTTTCTTGATTATGCTTTATCCGTTGTGGAGCCGGCAGAGTTCCTTCCCCCTATTCTAAGAAGGTTTTCTTGGTCTTTCTTCTCCCGCTGTCAAAAGCTTCTGCAAGTCCAAGCCCCTATCCTCAGCTCAAAGCCAAGCCCTCAGTGTCACTGACTACATGTAAGAGGGCAGGAATGGTAATGGCCTTCTTTTTGACCTTCCTATCATGTCGTTTTCCTCCAAGGATGAGTTTTATTCTCAGCTTAGATGTCACCTGCTCAAAGCAGGTTTCCCTGAGCCTGTGTCAGCTCCAGAACAATACCCTGCTCTTTTTTTTTTTTTTTCTTCCAAGGATCATTATCCCCTCGTCTGCACCGTTCTCATTTGGTCCTATTTGAAAGTAAACTCCAGGAGGACAGGGACTATCTTTTTCATTAGCTAAATTTCCGGAAACAGTAGCGCCCCACATCGTCTTGAGGGAATAACTTGGCCCACTCTTTTTTCTCCCTCGAATCCCTCCTCTCCTGGACCAGTAGGGGGTGCCGGCCTCCAACACGGATCTTGCTGGGCTTGAACCTTCTGTACACCCAGCCCAATGGGCCCTGTGCGGGACCGTTTACTACGCGGTGCTTCCTCCATTTTCTGCAAACCGCTGGGCGGGGGGGGGGGGTCTAAAGATATCAGAGCCCTCTGAAATAGGCCATGTGAACCCCACACTGGTCCTTCCCTATGGAGTTTGCACTGGACCTCCCCGAATGCTTGCTGCCCCGTACCTCTCCCCCAAAAGAACCATGCCCTAGGACGCGGGATGGGGAAAGTCTGGGTTCGCTGGAGCTGTTCTGGGCAAGGAAGAGCCGTCGAGACTCGGAGGGGGACGCGGTACCGGCCAGAGGCAGGGGTGCGGACTTGTGACCCGTACTCTGGGCGGCGGTCCTCGTCCCAGGCTGTCGGCAGGCTCACGCTTCTAGCCGCCTCTCCCGATGACCTCCAGCCGCAAAGGGCGAGCTGACGGGGGCTGGGCTGCGAGTTCGGGCTCCGAGAAGCCTGCGGGGCCCTGGAGGGGCGTTCGAGTGGTCCGCAGACCGGCCAAGGGGGCTGGGGCAGGTAGTTGGACGGACGCGGGCCGAGGACCGTCCCTGGGGGCGGGCGCAGTAAAAACACCTTGGGAGGCGGCGCCGCACGGCTGAGCGCCGCTGCCCTGGGAATAGGACGGCGCTCAGCACTGCGAGCTGAGAGCACTTTCATAAATTTTGTATGGGAGGTGCTCCGTGAGCGGGGGCGGGGAGCGGAGCTGGAGGGAGGGAGCTAGCGAGCGAGGGAGGGAGGAGGAGGAGAGGTGGGGGAAGCCGGAGGGGGGGCGAGGAAGGGAGGCGCCCCGCTCCGCCGATCGCTCGGTCCTGCAAACGCGCGCCAGGCGCTTTCCCCGGAGCTCGGCTGTGCGTGCGAGCGCCCTTTTGCAGCAGCCGCGGCGGCTGCTGCCCGAGGGGGCGGAGAGGAGGGGCCCGCAGCCGGACGGCCGGGGGGCGGTGTCCCCCCTCAAAACCGCCTGCAAAGTGCTCCGGGGGGCAGAAGGAGGCCGCCGACTCCGGAGAAATCCGTTCGCCCCGGGGCTGAGCGAGCGCACCGAGCCACCGAGCAGCGCCGCGGTCGCTGGCGGGCGCCAGTGTCTTCGGCGCGGGGCTTGGGCTCACCATGCCCCTGCACGGCCGGGCCGCCGGGCACAAGCGGATCCCCGGCTTGCCCCCGCCACGACGCGCTCGGATTAGCTGCAGCTGGCGTCCAGGGATTTGAATCTGGATCCCGGGAGGGAGCGCGCCTAGGCCGACCTCGGAGCGGCAGCCCGGCGGCCACCATGCTTCGCAAAGGTGAGTTGGAGCCTCAGGGGCAAGTTGGAGTCGGATGCGCACGGGGCAGAGCCGTGAGCCCAGGAGCCGTCCAGTACCCGGGCTCCGGGTCCAGGAGGCAGCTTCGAGCGAGCTGCCTGGCTTTGTCGGACGCGCCCACCGAGGAGCTGCTGCTGGGAGCTCAGCTCCCGTCGGTGGCCCGTGGCGAGACACGGGGTTCGCTCAAATGGCCAGGCCTAGGGTTCTGTCTCGAAAAGCCAATCCGAGACCAGAATGAGCGGTCTGTGGTGAAAGGGGAGCTGGCCTCCTGGGACCTTTGCTTTGCCATTGTGAAGTTTTTGTACTTGAAGCCTCCAAACCCCGCGCGACGCATGCCTCTGCGTCTGCTGCTTCGGCGAGGCCAGTTCCGCCGGCGCTTCAGTGCAGCCAGCAGTCAGCCACCGCGAGGCCCAGCCCTCCAGGGGACCGGGATGCGAGCACCTTCCTAGCCACCTGTTTTGACCCTAGGGACGAACTCTGGGCGCCCAGTGGCCGAGAGTAGGGAATGCCAAGCGCCTGAAGTCCGGTTCCTCAAACTTTCTTTATGCCTGGAGAGGAAGGACTTAAAGGCGAGGGCGGCGTGGGCAGGATGGGCGGCCAGTGCCAGCTCAACTTGAAGAGAGCTAGCTCCGCGACCACTCCACCCAGACTCCCCGGCAGCCAGGTACCGAGCGCGACAAAGTTGACGCGGGAGCCGGGCAAGTCCCGCCACGCCCCCACGTGGTTGTAGTGCGGGGTGCTGTCCCTCAGGGCAAGGGAGGGCAGGCGACCCCGCCATCAGTCTGGGGGATCCGCTGTCCCCTGCTCTGCCTCTGCGTCAGCTCCTTTCCGCTCCCAGGCCGGGACCCACCCTGGGCCCCGGCCTGGTCCCAGTGTTGGACGAACCTTGGCGCCTGCGGCTGGCTGCCTCGGCCCTGCAGGAGCCAGCAGAGGCTGGAGCTCAGGTAGCGGAGGGGCCTGATCCCTGAGCTCCCCGCTCCAGCCTTAATCCGCCCCTGTTTCCATGGCAACAGACCGAGGTGTCGTAAGCACAAGATTCTGACCTCACAGCAGGATGGGAAAGGAGAAAAAACGGGCAGGGGGAGGTGCTGAGGTGGGGGGAAGTGAAGTTCCGAGATGGGCGGAGAAAAGCAGATGTGCTGTGAGAGACTCAGATAAGCAGGTCAGACAGGTGGGTGAAGAAACCACCCCTTCCTGAAAGGCTGAGCAGGGTCCCAGTTTGGACCATCCGTGGAGGCTTGATTGCCCTGTCGTGTAGAAATAGTCATAAACTTGTGTGTGACTTGTGCCCTCCACGTGGGTTGCTGCAGTGCTGGGGAAACTGCTGCCTTTTGCTGTGGTGTGAAAAAAGTCTCTGCAGCTGGTTGGAGAAACTGCTTCACTGATACACCCAGTTCCTTTCTCTGTTTAAAGGCACTTAAAAAGTCCTTTTAGCAGAGCTGGCCAGAGTGTCTCTGCACAGAAAAGGCTCTTTTTACAGAACTGAGCACAGACCTTGGTCTGAGAAGCTTGGGCCTGGAGTGTGCAAACTTGCCCCAGCGGGGAAGGCTTCTCAGGCAGTTTTAAAAGACTGGCATGTCTGGGCTGCAGATTTGTGATGGCGATAATAGAGAAGATCTGACATCTCATGTCCCATTTGGTCTTCTGTCTTTTGGCAGTTTACAGTTAAAAATGATCCACAACGTAGCCCACACACTATTTACATGGTTTAGGTGCCCAGGGAGACTTCAGCAGCCACCAGGAGCGTTCTCTCCCATCCTGGCTAGCCAGAGGCCCAGCTCTGGATGAGCCCGGTGCATTCTGGGGGCTGCTCCTGGGGGCGGGGGGGCTTCTTACCTTCCTCAGAAGGTGGCCACTGGAGGCTTGGCAGTCACATGTGTTTGCCACTCAGGCTGTTTTTCCCTTCCTTCATAGCCTGGTGGCTTGGTTGGCCCAGGGAGGGGTTCCACCAACAAAGAGATCTGTGTATGGATTGGCCTGAGGAGTGCAGAGCAGAAAAGCCCAAGGCTGGGCTGGGCTGGGCTTGTGTGGCCTAGAGACTGCCACTGGGACATTGTGTGGGCAAATGACTTTTTGTTTTGTTTTCTTCCTCGGCCCCTGATTCCTTGACTTTGTCTCTTCTGCACACATGTAGGGGACAGTCAGATTCTCTGTGTGGATTCTAGGTGTGTGCCCACAGCCAGAGGTATGCCTCTGGCTAACACAAAGGGTGGGGGCCATTCAAGCTTCTGCTTCAAGAATTGCTCCCAAAGGCTCCAAGCAGCAATGTTATAGGATGAGTTGAGATAGCTGCTACCTATCAGATACAGAGCCTACATGGCAAGTTTAATAGTTTAATATTTGGAAAAGGATTTGAAGGATGAATAAAGAATAGCTCTCCCTAGATCCTGTGGGAGGGGGAAGAATAGCCTTAGACCATGAGAGTCATCTCTCTGATTTCTGATTGTCCCCTGGCAGGCCGTTGGGGGGGGGGGTTATCATCTGCATCTCTAAATGAATAGACTACAGTGGTCATAGCCCTACCTCTGTGAACCAGAAGAGTCCCAATGGGATGTAGCTGCTGACAGTGCTGGTAGCTAAAGGCTTCGGCAGCTGCTCTGCCTGCTTTTCCATCCCCTAGCCTGTTATAAAAAGCAATCCTCTGGTCAAGAGATGAGAAGCAGGCAGGGTGAGTAAGGCCCTGAGCCATCCAGCAACATCCAAGAAGGAAGGACAGCCTGCAGGGGGTTTCACTTTGCCAGAAGTGGCCTGCTTAAGATCAGGATCTATGGTTTTCATTTTTAGAGCTATAAAAACAGAATACAAATCAAGAGCCTCTGGGCTAATACAGAACCTTTCCTTAAAGTTTTTGTCTTGTTAAGCAAGGAAATAGAGTGCCAAATAGGCTTTGTTAAGTGGCAGTCTAATTAATAATTTAAAATCTTGTAGCTGTCTTTCATTAGAATTTATCTGTACATCAACCACAAAATCAGTCAAACACACTCATTTATAAGTTAATGCCATCCCTGAATAATTCAGCAAGAGCGAGATTAAGGCCTGCAACCCAGTAAGATGCATTTTGTTCTCTTGGTTTCCATAGCTGATGGGCTGGCCCAGTGGCTAAACTGAACTTATCCTTTGTGGGAAGAAGGGAAGGCAGAGGAAGGAGAAATCATGGTGCTGTCAAGTGGTTGGTAGATTTTAATCTAGAAGTTCCCTAAGTGATCAGAGACTTCCTGTGGCTATGTATGAGCAGGCTCCATCTCTGCCTCTCTTTGGGGCCACCAGGATTCAGAGCTGGTAATAATGGCCCTCTTAGTTCCAAAGGAGAGAAGAGAGAAGAGACAAGAGTGTCCCGTGAATGGCCAAGATTCTTTCCTGCTACTGAGGAAGTGTGGAGGGGAAATAGGAGAGCCTTTCTCAAGAGGGCTGAGATATGAGGCTTTTTAGCCCAAATCCATGTGCCAAAGTGCAATTTCAGTCTTCTCAGTCCACGTTTGTCCCAGTTAAGGAATGTGGCCTAGTGGAACCAGCCCCACCAAAATGCTTCCTTCATTGGTAGTTTCTTTTTTGTTTGTTTGTTTTGTTTTTTGTACCAGGGATCGAACTCCTTGTGCTTGCAAGGCAAGCGATGGAACCACTGAGCTAAATCCCTGGCCAATTCATTGGTAGTTTCTAATGTACTGCTTTCCCCCTCAAAGCTCCTGGTCCTTGTGCCAAAATGAGGAATTTAGGGGAGCACTAGGACACCCTGAGACGCACGGTTGCTAAGTAAAGCTCATGCTTGCATACTCTCAGTGGTGACTGGAATAGCAGTCAGTGCAGTGTTCTTCCTGGGAGTTCAGACAACATGGACAATGTTTTTTGGTTTAGTTCTTGTCCTATCAATATGGGACCAATGCTTCACTGCAGTCTTTAAGTCTTTTTGTTTTGTTTTCTTTTGTTTTGTCTTGTTTTGTCTTTGTTTTTTGGAACTGGGGATCAAACTCAGGACCTTGCACTTGCGAAGCAGGCAGTGGCACCACTGAGCTAAATCCCTGGCCCTTTAGGTCTGTTTTTTGGGGCAGGAAAATGTCCAGCACCCAAATTCCCAGCATGGGCACTGATTCCTCCACTATAGGAAAGAGCCCCAGAACTTCTGGTCTCTACCACAGCCCACCAGCCATCAGCCCTCCAGAGGGTTAAATGGCACTGTTTTGGAGACAAGATAGGGAACTGGAGCCCACATACACTTGGTGCCAGGAGAGGCTCTTGGCCAAGTATGAAAAGAAGTCGTATTAGGAAAAAGAAAAGGCAAGGGAAGGGGTAGGTGTTTGTCTCTTGACCTGTGGCAGAGTTGACAGCAGATGGAGCTGAGGAAGGGGTGGCTTATGGGATGCATCCAGCTCCAAGTTCTGACCACATCTTTGCGATTGAGGCCTGAGAAAGGACAGGGCAGGTCACTCTGATGAGATGAGAAGGAGAGGGCAGCATCTTGAAGGATGTCGAGAACAGATCTGTTTGGTACCATCTGCAGCAAAGTAGTGGTTAAGGTTAAAGCAGAAAGGAGATGACAGGGAGGGAACAGATGGCCAAGGAAGCAAAATAGCTGGTGAAATGGGAACAGAGCCTCCAGGGACAGCAGAAGGCAGGACCTCCACAATGAGTGCCGGAAGGATCCCTTTTCTTGGGGTGCAATGGCCAGGCCACCTTGGTGGAAATGAGTCAGGGGAAGGAAAATGGCAGGGACCCAGTATGAGGGCTCCCACAAGGCCTAGGAACAGACCTAAGAAGCCATTAGCTCCAAAGTAGGGGCCCCAGGTGCAGGGATTTTCATAGATGTTGATGAGCTGGGGTGAGGAGGAATGACTGGCTTGGTGTCCATCACTGCAGCAAGGCAAAGCCGCCTTGGGTCTCACAGAGCATGGCTGGCTGAGCCAGTTGGAAACAGGTGGCAGGGAAGGGTTATTCTTTCCAACTTGCCATATGTCTACTTATGGTAATCCCTGTCCACTTACTGAAAA